TGGGGGCCCTGCCGGCTGCGACGGTGGCGGGCGGGGCGGAGGGAAACCGCTTGGAGCCGCGTCAGGGCCTGTGCGCGAGGAGAGCCGGGTCTGAGCAGGGGGGCGCTGGTGCGCCTGTGCCCGGGCAAAGGGGCCGGCAGAAATTCGTGGTAGGGAGCCGCCCCGCCCCGCGGTCGTGATGTGGAGACCTGCAGTTGGTCTCATTGCGCCTTGTTTACGGGGAGTGTTTTGGTCTGGGAAGGATCTGAACAGGCTGCATAAACTGTACCTACGTACCCAGGAATTTGCGACACTTGTTACCACTGCAGTGCAGCTGTAGGGGGACATGGCGCGACGAGCGAGAGAGCGAGAGCAGTGATGGAAGGGAACTAATCGTTGATGTGGAGACCTGCAGTTGGTCTCATTGCGCCTTGTTTACGGGGAGTGTTTTGGTCTGGGAAGGATCTGAACAGGCTGCATAAACTGTACCTACGTACCCAGGAATTTGCGACACTTGTTACCACTGCAGTGCAGCTGTAGGGGGACATGGCGCGACGAGCGAGAGAGCGAGAGCAGTGATGGAAGGGAACTAATCGTGTAAGAGCAGACTTTAGAAGAGGTGAGACAAGGAGAGGAAAAACATCAATCTCATTCCAAGTGGCGGGTCCCATAACTGAACTGAAGCGTAGATTCCAGAAAAAGATAATTTAAGAATGAGGAAGTTATGTTCTAAGCTGAGGTAACCGAGGGACTGAATGTGGGCATTCACACAGCCCTTATCTTCTTTGGCCTTAGTAGGAGACTGGCATGCTTTGACCTGCTTCTGGAATGGAACTCTCCTCTTATTTTAGTTGTGTGTCACTTTACTGATGTAAGTACAGCGACCAAGCTGAGTGGTGCTTTTTAGGATCTGATTGGTTTAAACTTGTATAACATTCATATAGCACCACAAATTACTATTTGTTGTGGAGTTAAGTGGCTGAGTGTTTTAAGAGGCAGACTGCTGGTCAGTGCTCCACTTAGTCTCAGAGTGTAAAACACTTGACAACAGACTTGCTCCTCATGGTTGGGCAAAATACAGTCCACAGGCCAGATGTGGCCCACCAAGCCACCAGATCAAGCCTGTGGACAGAGCAGGGAGCCTCAGGTAGGCTGCCTGACTGCCCCACACACCACTCTTAAAAGGGGCTACAGAGCTCTGTTTGTCTTTAAACAGCTGCGAGCCTAAGGGAAGAGGGAGAGGCTTGGTGCACTGGCCTCACCACCAGCACAATCCCATTTGCTGGTTTTCAGCCAATGGGTGCTGCCTGTTTGAAGAACAGGAAGTGAGGGAGCACTTCTCCCTTGGGTTCATAGCTATTCACAGACCCACATGGCCCCTGCAGCAGGTGTGGGGCCATGGAAGACAGGGAGCCTGCCTGAGAAACCTGCTGGGCTGCTGGCTGGGAATTACCTCTCCTGGCCAGAGCCTACCCTCTGGCACCTAGCCCCACCATTCTTGAAAAACTTGGAAAAAAACCCTCCAAAAGTTAGGTATGGAACCTATCAGTTAATGGACCCTATTTATCCTTAATCTCACCTTTATTTACCATGTTCATCCAACTTTAACTTTATCGTTAAAGTTTTCAGAGTTTATAAGCTCCACTTACTTTAACATCAAACCAGTTATTTCAGTGTGTAAACATATTCTTCTGTTCCACCAATTTGTCATCATATTAGAAGCCATTGATCTCTATTATCATTGAAGCACCGTGGAAATATATTCCTTCAATATTGTCATTGTACATTTGATAAACTTCTATAAGCTACATTCTACAGCAGGGCTACTCGACTTTGGAAGCCCCGGGGATACTCACAGCACATACCAAGAGCCGCAACTTAAGTGTGGTTACATATACATGCAAACATATGCAAATAGCTTCTTTCACACTAACAGGCTTAATACAAAGATTAAGGCAAGACTACATAACACACAGGCCCCATTTAAGTCAATTATGGTGATGTTAATAACATGCAATATTTACCCAATTTCAACCCATGACAACAGCATTTTTTATGAGCAATGACAATCCAGGAATTTAACATATCAACAGAAGACCATTATATTGACTAAATTTTTTGTTTTTGGCTCCCACCCGCAGGCTACATGTAGAGCTCCGTGTAAATGCAAACCGCACCACGGGACGCAAAACAATGGGCCCCGGGCCACATGCGGTCTGTTGGTCATATGTTGAGTAGCCCTGTTCTACAGCATACTTTTTTAGTCAGAACAAAACAAGAGAATGGCATTAACTTTGGGTGTGTGTTGTAAACATATTGAGGTACTAGTGATTTTAATTTTCATACTTAAATTTTTTTAATTACTTTTTTTGGTTTGAAATCTGGCTGTTCTTTATCTCTCCTTTTCCTGATTAGGAAAGGGGGTTCTGGTGATGAACTGTGGAGTAAGGGAATGGTAAACAGTTTTCTACCTATCTGAAAACAAACTTATTACTGCTGTTTCCAAAAAAACCTTATGTATCAGTCACTATATTTACTTCTCTCCTCCCTCAGAATCCAATAATCAACATGTCTAGCAAAAGGGCAAAAACAAAGACGGCCAAGAAGCGCCCTCAGCGCGCAACCTCCAATGTATTTGCAATGTTTGATCAGTCACAGATTCAAGAATTCAAAGAAGCCTTCAACATGATTGATCAGAACAGAGATGGCTTCATTGACAAAGAAGACCTGCATGACATGCTCGCTTCCCTTGGTAATGTTCTTGAGTTAACAAGAATATAACAATTTTGTAACTCAAATAAGTCAAGTAGTATGAATTTGTTAAAACTTCAATATGTGGGAACTGTGTCTTGAAAGATGAGCTTTACGCATGCATACCATGCTTTTCAGTATTAAGAAGTGACTTATTTACTTATAGGAAAGGATCCCACTGATGCATATCTAGATGCCATGATGAATGAAGCTCCAGGCCCCATTAATTTTACTATGTTTCTTACAATGTTTGGTGAGAAGTTAAATGGCACAGATCCAGAAGATGTAATCAGAAACGCTTTTGCTTGTTTTGATGAAGAGGCAACAGGTAAGTGTATGAAACACCTCTTGGGACTTCTGGTGGGTTTTCCACTGTTCTTCAATCATCAAGCTATATTTAAATTTGTTATATAGATGTGGATCTTTTTGCCAAACATGTCCGTTTGGTATCTTGATAAAATATATTATGGCACAGGGACAATTGTCCTAACTTTCACATACTATTAAGTGATAAGAAACTGATGTAATACGAAGAATGCTGTCCTCTTGTCTGTTTCTCTATGAGCGTTATATACCAATATTTGTCTCCTATGATAGGCTTCAAGGAAACCATGTAACTAGGTAATGTGCAGAGTCCCATAAATGGAGTATAACTGCTTGAGGAGGAATTCAACAAAGTAGCAGACTTTATGGGAAAACATCAGTTTTTGTTGCTTTTAAAATGTGAGATAGATAGGCCTTTAGCCTGAAGGTAATTGACTTGCCCTGCTCTCCAGACCTACATGTATGTGCAGCATCCAAGGCTCTTGTTCAGGCCCTCCTCTTGCATCTTAACTATTGTAATTTCCTCTTCTCTACCACAGATGCAAACTACAATTCCCCTCCTTAAGTCCACACACAATGCGCTTTTCCCTAGTTTGTCACCATGGCTACATCATCCTGAGTGAATTTTTTGGTGTCTTGGAAAAAAATAATTTCTGATATCTCAATCACAAATCCATTAAGGAAGTTAATATGCAGATAATCAGCTAATCGAGTAGTTGATAGAATTTTCATTGACTATTGATTAGTTGATGGGGGCGGGGGGAGGAGTTGCATGCCCAGCTCCTAATACTTTAAACTGTAGAGCTGCAGCGGGGTTAGCTCCCCCCCGTGTAGTGTAAGCCAGGACTGAACAGCCTCTGCTCACACCGCCACAGGAACTAACTGCCTTTTAAATGCAGTAAGAGCTGCCTGGCTCGTACTACATTTAAAAGGAAGAGGTGTAGTTGGGGACTGGGTGTGAGCCAGGAATCAGCTGGCAGCTCTTGCTACATTTAAAAAGCAGAAGTGCAGGATCTGGGACTGGGCACAAGCTGGCACAGCTGATTCCCAGCTCACACCCAGGTGCCCTCTTGCACCTCTGCCTCCCTTGCCCCCTGAAGAGATGGTGCTGAGGGGAACTGGCTTGTAAGGGGCAGCAACATGAGGGGGAGTTACTACTAGTTGCTTACATTCCTAAAATCCATGCAGCCCAGATTGAGAGAAATGAGGTGATCGCACTTCATAGAACCATAGAGCTGGAAGAGACCTCAGAAGGTCATCAAGTCCAGCTCCCTGCTCTAGGCAGGACCAGTTCCAACTAAATCAACCCGGCCAGGGCTTTGTCAAACTAGACTTAAACACCTCTAGGGATGGAGACTCCACTACTTCCCTAGGTAACCCGTTCCAGTGCTTCACCACCCTCCTAGTGAAATAGTTTTTCCTAATATCCAACCTGGACCTCTCCCACCACAACTTGAGACCATTGCTCCTTGTTCTGCCATCTGTCACTACTGAGAACAGCCCCTCTCCATCCTCTTTGGAACCTCCCTTCAGGAAGTTGAAGGCTGCTATCAAATCCCCCCTCACTCTTCGCTTCTGCAGACTAAACAGACCCAAGTCCCTCAGCCTCTCCTCATAAGTCATATGCTGCAGCCCCCTAATCATTTTGGTTGCCCTCCACTGGACCCTCTCCAATGCATCCACATCCTTTTTGTAGTGAGGGGCCCAGAACTGGACACAATACTCCAGAGGGGGCCTTACCAAAGCCGAATAAAGGGGAATAATGACAGTACACTTCTCAGCTACTGTTTCAAGATTTCTGTTGACTCAGGCAGATGCTATTGCTTTTGCTTGCAGTCTTCTCGTATTTCAAAATATCTTTGAAATTGCAAGTCTAGAAACTTATTTTGTTAATGACACTTGAGTGTCTGCAGCATAATCTAGCAGAAAGGAGTGAATTCCATGGCATTCACTATACTTAGATAATATAGTCCTATAATTCGTTTGGAAACCGATCAAACCTTCATTAGCATGTTTTAGCAGTGCCATAGCACATGTCCATTACACATTCTCATAATTGTCTGCTGTAGCATTTTTAATCTCATTTGAGGATATGCAGTCTGAGCTTTTTAGTCAGCAATTTTGAACCTATATTTTAGCACCTTTTCAAGAGAAATCCCCTCTCTTCTGTAGCCTAGGTAAATAACCTTTCTTTGGTGAGGCCTTTCGAAATGTTAATTGACTACCTTACTCCCTAGAGTAATGTTCCCAATCCTCTTCTGAAAGAGGAAGTCTATTAGTAGATAAATTATTTTCTCTGCACATGAAGTCTTTCTGAATCACTATGCCTACAGTTCAGTATGTGTATCAAAAAGGGCATATAGAAAAATATTACACAGGAGTATTGTTAGTCATGCATTCTAGCCTATTTAAATTACGGTATTATCAATTGGCTTTGAAAATGCCTCTGATTCAACTCTCCTCCCACTTCCTGAGGTTTGTACTTTTGAACAGTGTGTTAAGAAACTTGTAGTTACCTTGAATCATTTTCAGCATTTATGAGTTGTCTCCATCTGCATGCATATGTATGTTCTGGGATGACTGACAGCTGCAACATCAGTAACACATGAGTTTAACTCCATGTGATGAATGATGCCAAGAAAGTATACAAAAGAATGGAGCTTTACTGGTGTGAAACTAGAGTAAGGTACTTGTTACCCTCGCTGATTTGATACAGCACAGCTTCTTACCAATTTGTTTTTCTATCTCTCTCTGCAAAACAGGTCATATCTTTCTACATTGTTATTACATATACTACTCCTCTATTAGCTGTCAACTAAATCTTTAGTGTATGTCTGAATAGTACCAGGAACTAATCTAATTGTACTGGTAAAGTTTGTTCCTCTTCTAGTCCCTACATTATCTGCTTTGTCCCTCAGGCTATGTGTAGACTTGTTCCGAAAGAGAGCATCCACATTGCCAAAACGCATCGAAAAAGTAATCTGCTTTTTTGAAAGATAGCGTCCACTCTAAATGGATGCTATCTCATGTTTAAGCTCTGATTACTATGAACAGAGTGGCCACCAGGGCACCTGTGCTTTTTTCTCTTTCCTTTTCTTTCGAAAGAATTCACTCTTCTCTGTCCACACATGCCTTTTTCTGAAAAAGGTGTTTCGGAAAAAGGTTTCTTCCTCGTAGAAATAGGTTTACCAATGTTGGGAAAAACCCCTCTGTTCTTTTGATTTTTTTTTTTCTTCCCGAAAGAACATGATTGCAGTGTGGATGTAAGTGAAATTTTTTCAAAACTCTGTAGTGTAGACATAGCCTCCGTGTCTCCCGAGATTAATTCTGAATTAGTTGCCTTGATTCTTGTATTCCATCTGTCTTTGAGGCTACTTCCTGGTATTCTGTTATCTTCCCAAATGTTTCCTAGATTAGCAGAACAGGCTTTAACCCAGTACAGAACTATTCAGATTCATGTAGATGAACTCCACCACCAAGAAGTCCTGCACCCTTATGAGAACTAATCCTATACCAAACCCTGTACCATCTCCTGTCACTCATTTACTTCTAAATATTCTACCAGTTCTGGGATGTTAATCTATGAAGTCATCACCTTCAGCTGTTGGTCCAGGTCTGAAGTGCTATGATCCATTCTTTTGAACTTCTGGCCCTGTTAATATGGATGTGGATAACGGATCAGGTTATTTCCTTTTGTTTTAAATGTAGAATATTGGGTTTAAACTCTTTAATGTTCAGATATCTTGCAAAGGCTTTTGGTCCATTTTACGTCTCTGGTTTTCTGTCCTCCTCCGGTCTTCTCTGATTTTTGCTCACTGAGGTTTGGTCAAGTGCCTTTCTAAAGCACCACTCTCTCTGCAAAACCTCTTTTTGCACATGCTGGTTATTTACTCCTTAATCATTGTGGTGTGCATTTATGGTGTATACTTGTAATAGTCCTTCATATAGCAGTTTGTCAGCTAGTTTATTTGGCTGGTTTGTCTCCTGATAAGAGTTCAGTAACTTGTCCTCTTTCCTTCAACTGGGTAAGTACTGTGCACTTGAGACAATGTAGGTCTCTTATCATGACATCAGGTTATGGCCCATCCTCTGTACTCCACTGCCTTTGTCACTTTTTTCCCCATGCTCCACTTTCTTTGTATTTTCTGAACTTCTCTGGAATTATTTGGAAACCAATTACCTGAGTAATATCCATTGATGTTAAAGTAATTTACCTTGTTTTTTGGTGTCCAAGTCATCATCTTGCTTTATCCGTGTTTATAATTTCCTCGTGTTCTTCTGCTGAATTCTATTTATTATAAAATATGTAGCTTCAGTTATCCCACCTTTCTGGATCATTTCCCTTATTCTTGACTCGTCACAGCAGGCTTTCCTGCCTCCTGATTTAATTTGCTCAGCCTGTCTGCAGGTCTCCTCCATTATAAACCCTCCTCTTGGACATGTCACATACTCTCAGTATCCAAATGAAAATTCCTATAGCAACAGAACTTTGGTTTTTTTCATTGCTGGCAACTGCTGCTATGTAGTCAGAGGCAACTATTAGGTGTATTTTGTGTATCCCCTATAAAATAAAGTTAGAAGAATACAGTCCCTTTAAAAATGCAAGATTGAACAGTAGAGCAGCAATGACCTTACTTATTCTTGCCTCAGTTTATATTCTTCCATTTTTAATCTGTTTCAAGTGCCCGTATTTCCATGTATTATCTCTGTAAAATAGTCCCTCTTCATGAAATCTTGTACTGTAAATTGTATCAAAGTAACTGCTCTAATTCATTTTCTCTTGATGCAAATACTCATTTATTATATGCTCTAATATGTATATGCCTATCTATTGCTGTTGATACGACAGTTACCTTAATGTTGATATCTTTGCATTTGAAGTAAACTTTTTCTTTCCTGATTCTTTGTATACATTACATTCTAGGGTTCATTCAGGAAGATTACCTGAGAGAGCTGCTAACAACAATGGGAGACAGGTTTACAGATGAAGAAGTAGATGAGCTATATAGAGAAGCACCAATTGACAAAAAGGGAAATTTCAATTACATTGAATTCACACGCATCCTTAAACATGGAGCAAAAGACAAAGATGATTGAACAAAACTGTAGACAACTTCTTGTTTTCACTCATGTTTATTTCTCAGGGGTTTTGTTTTGTTTTTTTGTTTTGTTTTGTTTTGCTGGTAGAACCTGTTGCATGCAATTTAGCTTCACAACTTTTGCCTTTCTCCATGAATTTCTGGATTTCATGCCATTATGGCACACTTGCACCTCTGTAACCAGACTGGAAGTGGGGGGGAGATTTTATTGTAATGAAAAAGATTTTGGGGTAAAGATCAGTGAATGTGAAGGTTTAGGGGAAAATACCTATTTCTGGATTTTTACATTTTTATAATAAATATCATTTTGAAATAAAGATTGTTGTATAAATAAAATACCTCATTAAACCTTTTCTTGTTAAGAGGCTTTTCTAATAATAGGTAGAAACATTTTTCCAAGATGAGTTGTATCAACTTTTGACACTTTAGTTCAAATTGTAAACACACTTTAATTTGAACAACAGTAACCTATAGGTCTTCATTTAGATGTTTCTATTCTGGCACTTAAGTTGGGCAGTGATATTTCATTGTGTGTAATGTGGTAAGGAAGTGCCTTTATTTTAAACTCTGGTACAGAGCAAAGAAATGGTTCTAGTCAGATTTACTTGATGTTATGAAAAAATCCTGGAGCTGTGCCCAGTGTTAACTCTACAACATTATATTTGGGTAACTTAGTTTTTTGTGGTGTATATACTAGGCTTTTCCTAGGGGGGGAAAAAAATCTGTAAACGGAAGATTTCGACTAGATGTAACCACAACACCTATTTCATGTTTCTTATGGTTGTAGGAGTATCATTTCTGGGAAATCTCAGACACAGGTTGTGCTGGTGTTAAGTTTCTTTTTAGTTTATGAAAAAATTGTGTTTCTCCTGTTTTCTCTCCTCTTGCTATCCCTCTCTCAAAACTTAGTGTTTTGTCTTTGGGCGGGACAGAAAGTATAAACCTAATCTACTGGTTCTCTCTCTTTACAGTGTTGTTTCTATCTCTTGGGGGCAACTGGGAACAAATATTTTACTTTCAGAATGAAAGGTATTTTGGAAAGAGCTTCTGCCCACTGAGGGTAGACGGTACAATTATGGGGAAAATGACATGGTTGGATTTATTCATAGCTTTGTATTTGATCCTCGGCTTTTTGTCAGTTCTGCCTACAAAGATACTATTAAAAGTTCCTAGAATTTCATAGTCCCATTAAACTTGAGTCTTTAATCTTTTAGTTTAGCTATACATGTCGGCTACGTCTACACTGGCATGATCTTGCGCAAAAACTCTTTAGCACAAGAGTTCTTGTGTTAAAGTAGTTGTGCAAGAGAGCATCTACACTGGCATGTGCTTTTGCACAAGAGCATCCATGCCAGTGTAGACGCTTTCTTGCTCAAGAAAGCTCTGATGGCCATTTTAACCATAGGTCTTTCTTGCACAAGAAATTCATGTTGCCTGTCTACACTGGCCTCTTCTGGAAGAGCTCTGGTGCAAGAGGGCTTATTCCTGAGCAGGAGCATCATAGTTCTTGTGCAGGAAGCCCTGATTTTATACAATAGAACGTCAGTTTACTTGCGCAAGAACACACGGCCAGTGTAGACAGGCAGCAAGTTTTTGCACAAGAGCAGCCGCTTAGGCGCAAGATCGTGCCACTGCAGACACAGCTGTCAGTTTTACTTTATTTGCCTAAAGCAGCTTAATAAAATAATTGGTCTAAATTGCTGCTGGTTGGGTATTCTGCACAGTTTAAGATATTTTGCATAATTTCATCCATTATTCTGCACACTTTTAGGCTATGTCTACACAGCAGCATTATTTCAGAATAACAAAGTGTCTACATTGCAAGCCATTATTTTGAAATAATGGGGAGCTGAGGGACTTCTTACTGAGATTCCTGTAAAGCAAGGGTTACAGGAGTCTCAAGTAAGGGAAGTCAAAGGAAGAGTGTTCTTCCTGCTGTGTAGACTAGACAGTGCCAAAAGCCAAATTAAGCTATTTTGACTTATGTCATTTGCGTAGTTTAGCTCAAGTTACGTAGCTTAATTTGACTTTTGCCCTGCTGTGTAGACGTGCTTTTAGAGGGCATAACTTGTATTAGACTGTGCAACTTTAGGATTTAGCTGCGTGGGGCCTATAGTTTGCTAAAGCCTGGCCTTTTTATAGAAAACTACTATAGCATTCCCATGTTACTATGCTAGGACAAACCAAGTACTCTTTACTATGTTTGCTAGGAAGTGACAGTCATACAACTTTTGCTCATAAGCTTTGTACCTTAAAATTAGGAGGAGGGTCTCATGTGAAATCTTGCAACTAGATCCTTCAAATATGGGGGGAAATAGAATTCAGTATTGGAATCCAAGATGTGACCAAACTCCTGAACTGAACACTTCTCCGCTTCACCCATCTTATATTGCTATATGCTAAAAGTAATAGCAGATTCAACAAAATATCCCCAGCCATTTCTTCCAGATGCTGAATTTCTTGAGGTTCAGTCTGATAGCTATAAGAATGAGGCCTTACTTTATTTACCAAATTTCCACCTACAGACATCATTTCAACCTTAAGCAAATATTTAGCAGCCGCCATACACTGCCCCACAGATACTCAACCTATCCCAGCGACAAATTCCATTGCTAACTCTGTCTACATATCTATTCAAACAACACCATCACAGGACCTAACCACGTAAGCCACAACATCAGGTGCTCATTCAGCTGCATATCTTCTAATGTAATATATGCTATCGGCCAGCAATGCCACTTCGTCCAGTTTGGCCAATATATGGCAGTCTCTGCACCAAAGGATTAATGGACACAAATCGGATATGAGGAATGGTAGCACACAAATCCGTAAGGGAACATTTTAACTTCCCTGGACAATCAATGATAGATTTAAAAGTTGCCATAATTCTACAAAGGAATTTTATCACACAATTACAGAGGGAGACTGTTGAACTGGAATTTATTTACAAGTTTGACACTATCAACTTGGGCTCGAATAAAGATAGTAACTGGTTAACACACCACATAGCCTACCTTTTGATATTCATTTATACATCAAAAGCTATGAATGGGACACATCTAGTCTGACTCAATTAGCTTCATTAACACTGGTCCTACAATTGACAGGTAACTGCTTTTGCTGTTGTATAAACTTTGGGTTCTGTAATTTCCATTCCAACTCGTCTGATGAAGTGGGTTTTATGCATGAAAGTTCATGATACATTGGTTAGTCTTGAAAATGCCACAGGACTGCTCATTAAGTTACAGACTAACATGACTATGCCTCTGACACTTATTTTAGTTACAGATTAAACCAATGGAAGTGAAGTTACAGAGCTGATCAGTTGACATTTGCTGAGGCTGTTTTTTGCTGATCCTAGAAAAGGCCACTGCTTGGATTGAATTTTAGGCAAAGATCAATAAGATGGAAATAACTAGTTTTATTTAGAGGTAAGTATGTGGTCATTCAGTGGTACTCTGATTGAACGGTCTTGGATTCCAATTCTTGGTAAAGTAAGGACTTTATAATGCAAAATAACTTTTGAGTTTGGTATTAGCAAAAAAGTGAATGTAAAAGGGCTGATTGCAATGTTATTCCTATAAAGCATTCATAGTAGGGTATGTGGTCTTTCTTTTGCATTTAATATCGTTAGTACAGTGTTTCCCAATTTTATTTGGCCATGGAACCCTTTTAAACTTAAAAGAATTTTGCGGAACCCCTGCTAACAGTCTTATATATGATATATAACAGATGATCACACCACTGACTGCATGTGCAGCGCTGAGTAGTGATATCATTCTCCCCACTCTGGCTATGCTGGCATTACACAGGGACACTTATCGTGGCAAACACAAATGAAAATAGTTTTCAATAAAATTCTTAAATATTTTTTGAAATCATAAAATGTTAGTGACATGGAATTTTCTTGCGGAACCCTTATTTTCACTTCGCGGAACCCCATTTGGGAAACACTGTGTTAGTATATTGAGATGAGGCAGTAGAGAAACTGCTTATAGTAAGTACTCAAGGAATTTCTACTTGTTACAATTTCTCCTCTCTGCTGTTTATTTGAAAACTGGATCCCTTAAACTCCATCTGAAGAAGTGCGTTGTGCCCATGAAAGCTCATGATACCATCTACCTTTTTGTTAGTCTCTAAGGTGCTGCAAGACTATTCATTGTTGTTTAGTTTTTCCCGTTACAGACTAACACAGATACCCCCTCAATCTACTTGTCTTACAGTTACTGGTTCTGTTACTTTCTATATGAAATCTCAAACTTGCTACTGAACAGTTGCACTATATACTGGTATACAGTGTTTGCCGAAAGAGGCTTGGTGCTAGAATGTGTGCTTAATTAATATGGTGGAAAACATTGCATTTGAAGGTCTTATCTTTGAGGGTTGGTTTTTGTTGTTTTTTTTTTTTAACATATTCCCCCAGGTAATTCTAGCCTGTGTGTAGGCTTTGGCCACAGGTGTAGATTGGACAGCCGTGTGGTGGTGAGTTTTTTGGGTTTTTTTTAAATAGCATGTTGTCTAGTTCAACTCTGACCAGAGTTAGATGACTCACAGGTAAAGATTGCAGTGGCCAGCCTATACTAATACTCCATCCCACTCACAGAATCAGCAGAGCTGCCACTGAAGGATAATGTCCCAAAAACCTCATTATCTTTGGAGTTTAAGGCATACACAGTGGGGACTTGTGACTTTTGAAGTGTCTAGGCAGCAGGATCATTACCTAGTGTACAGAAAAAAACAAAATACAAAATAAATCTCACATGCTTGAAATTCAAACCACATGATTTTCATTTATTAATCCCATTATATGAACTATTATCCTGTTGGAAAAAGTTGACTGTTTTACTGTCTTATGAAGCAAATGCTGTTTTGAGTGCATTTTTGCGGGTGGGAGTGGGGGGAAACTCGTTATTTAATGTAATTTCAGTAGCCAGTGAAATGCCCTAGAGTTCTGCCTTTCTTTTGGAGTGTGACAGCTACATGGCCATTTTATCTTTTGAAAAATATTTTCATTATCTGTATGTGGAAATCTTCTAGGGCACCTGCTTCTGATCCAGCTCTATCCCTAGAAGAAGCAGTAGGAGGGGAGTTAGAACAAGTAGAAAAACCTGCAACACAGAATGTCTCACAGGTGGCTTTCTTTGGGGGGGGGCGGGTAATAGAAAAAGGCTGAAAGAAGTAGAGAATGAGACATGTACTAATACACAGAAGGAAGACTCTAGAAAATTGGGTGTCTAAGTTAATTCTTTTATAAAATCTATTAAATTTAGTTTTTAATGGGGATGTGGAATCAATCTTTACCATCTGATG